TCTTTTATTTGTTTGCATTTGGGACAGTGAACAAATGAAATCTGTCAAAAAAGAAAAAAATATTAAATTTCTTCATGTTTTCTATGTACACATAAATAGAATATTGATTTTGATGATGTAGATCAAGACATTGCTCTTGTACAGAAATTCTAAATTTGCTTTACAGGTAAAATATGGAGGTTTTATTTTGGTGCCAATCCTACTTTTCTCTTGCAGAGGATCTCCCAAGGCATTGTCATTCATACGTGGAACTAGCGTGTTTCCAACTGAGACTTAACAGTATATTGGTGAGTCTAGCAGAAGACCTTTGGGGTGAGTATAGCCTTTGCTTGGACTCTGTGAGTTTCTTTTAAATAATATTTTTAGTATTTCTTTGAAAATTTCATACAATATATTTTGATCATAGTCAGACCTCCTCCTCAAAGTCTTCCCCCATTTCCTCTTGGATTCACCTCCACTTTCCTATTCTCCTGACATTATATTCCATTTATTTTTTTTAAACACATATTGATCAGATAAATATAGCATCATTTTGGGAGATAGAGTCTCATGTAACCAAGACTGACCTTGAACCTGCTTGTAGTTAAAGTTGACCTTAAAGTTTTTATCCTCCTTTTATTACCTCCCAAGTGCTGGGACTAGAAACATGTGTTACTATGCCTATTTTTTATGGTGCCTTAGTGGGGCAAGTGCCCCGTTAGTGAACTTCATTGTTGGAGTAGTTAGTTTATACAAGAGTGGGCCTGATCTTGTTCTTAGGTATTCTGATTCATCTAAGAACTGAACTTTTTGTTTTAATTTTTTAAAAAATATTTTATTATTTTTATTTTATGTGTATGAGTGTATGTGTGTAAGTGCACCTGTGTCATGCAATGCCCACAGAGATCAGATAAAGGCCTCAGAATCCCTGGAACTGGAGTTACTAATGGTTGTTAGCTACCATGTGGGTGCTAGGAATTGAACCCTGGTCCTTTGCAAGAGTAGACAGTGCTCTTAACTCCTGAGCATCTCTCCAGCCCCGAGAACTGAACTCTTCAATAAAGGTCTCCTCTCATATTTATTGAACAGCATATCAAGCACGATATGACAAAAGCATGAACAATATCCCTTTTACAAAGAAAGAAGTAGTTTTTCTGACCCTATTGACTAAGAACAGCACACAAGGACACAGACAGATATCATCAATATATGTCCCATGTTGCTTGCAACATTTGTAAGGGAGATGTTGTTTTCAACATCATTGCTGTTACAGTTCACCCTCACATACATTTTTCTGAGTCAGGGGCATAACTGAGTCACAAATAGGGTACGTGGATAAGATTAAAGCTATGCATTCAGCTTAGTTTGTAAGAGTTAGTTTTTCTTAGAAGGAGTATAAATTTCTAAATGTTGTCAAAATGTGATTAACTTGATTTACAAGGTAATGTAAGATATGAATTTTTAAAGAATTTTTACAGAGTCTTTCCTAGAAAAGTCATTCCTACACCTGGGATCAAACTCTGGCTTCATGAATACTAGGCAAATAGTCTACTAACTGAACCATGCACATGCAATACCCCAAAACTGTCTTAATGGATTAAAATAATTGATATTAGAAAATTGTCTTACAGAGAATGGATGTCTCACAGAGCATATTTTCAATAATTTTCATGGTGGAATTCATAGTGGGAAATATAGGAAATGGGTTCATAGCCCTGGTGAACTGTGTGGACTGGATCAAGAGAAGAAACATCTCTGCATTGAGTCAAATCCTCATTGCCCTGGCTATATCCAGGATTGGTTTCCTCTGGTTAGTATTACTAAATTGGTGGGCATCTGTGTTTTACTCAGATTTACTGACAACTGGAAACATTATAAGAATGATTTATATCACCTGGACTGTGATCAGTCATTTCAGCAACTGGCTAGCTACCTGCCTCAGTATCTTTTATTTTCTTAAGATAGCCAATTTTACAAACTCATTTTTTCTTTACTTAAAATGGAGAGTTAGAGAAATGGTTTTAGTGACTTTGCTGTCATCTCTGATCCTTTTGTTTTTAAATATTATAATTATAAACACACATATTGATATCTGGATTGATGGAACTAAAAGAAACACTTCTGATATAAAGTTTTCTAAATTTCTTTTATTCCCCAACTTAATGTTCAATTTCATACCCTTTACTGTGACTCTAGCAGTTTTTCTCCTGCTAATCTTCTCCCTTTGGAAACATCTGAAGAATATGTGGCACAATGCTCACAGATCTGGACATGTCAACACCACAGCCCACATCAAGGCCTTGCAAACTGTGGTTGCCTTTCTCTTGCTATATACAATTTACCTTCTGTCGATTCTGACACAAGTTTGGAAGTTTGAATTCTTGGATGAAGATCTGATCATTTTCTTTGGACAGTCCGTTGTACTAGCTTTTCCTTCTGGCCACTCCTGTATCCTGATTCTGGTAGACAGTAAGCTGCAACAGACCTTTCTGTCTGTGATGTGGTGGCTAAGGTGCTACAGTCCCCAAATGTGGATTCCATACATTCATAAAACATTTGGAGGATTGTTTTGTGTTTTCTAGATGAAACACAGTTCACAATAAGTTTTTATGGTTATAAATGAACACTTTCCAAATATTAATGTGCTAAATGTGAATTTTACAAAAATCTGTTTGGAATGAACTTTGTGTAAATCATAACTCAAGCTCTGGTTTGTGTCTTCACATAGTTCTGCAGAGAGGTTTATCAATGCAAATCAATTAAATGTAAGAAATCTTCATACTAGCTACTAGTAGGAATTTGTCAATTATTAGTATATTTCAAGTTTTAAATTGAGAAACCCCAGATGGGTTTGATACATGCATGCTATAGATTCTAAAAATAATATTTATAACATCATACAAGTATTTTTAATGTAGAAAATATGCCTAAAATATTAGATGAGGAAGAAGAAAAATATACACAGCTCTAAATCAATCATCTTAATTTTTAAATAAAAAACATTAATTTAAAAAATCTTCAGACCCATGAATCTGCTTTATACTAATATTTATCATTACCTTTAAATATCAGAATTCTTGAACCATTTTATCTCTTTTGGTACAGCATAAGTCCCATGCCCATGTACACTGCATGCTCCAATGCAGTTTTCATATGTGTAATATTTGTAATGTATGATTCCCATGTTCATGTACACTGCACGCTCCACTGCCATTCTCGTATGTGTAAAGCAATGCATTTCATTTTAATACACAAGAACACAAAGCCATTCCTGTAAAAGACTTTTAAATGAGTGTCGTGCTATGAAACTATTTACATTATACTTTATGCTAGCACATATTTATAAATTCTAGGGCAGAGCATAAATATGTTGTTATAAAAAATTTGGAGACACTAATAACACAAAATTTGTCAGTTTTGTGCAGTAGTTTTAACTTTGGTTTTATGCCTTAAATGAAAATTACATAATAAATTATCTTTTTAATATGTTAAAGTTTTAAAATAAATTGTAAGTGACAGATGAAATAGAGAAAAACATAGTCTTTTATCTCATTTTCAATGCCTTTAATGTTCAGTAATATAGACCTGTACAATTTTAGACATGAGAGATTGTTTATTCAGGTTTATTTTTACAAGTCATTTCCAACTTCAGGTTTTAATTTTAATAAAGTTTCTTCTTGTTTTAATGCTGTCATTAATTTCTTTGTATAGAAATTCACATGGTTGATATAATCTCTGTTCCCCTTTTGGAGACATTTTAATGAATGAAGGATGATATGAAATAAGGTATGTGTATCTGTGCTAAGTGGATATTACAAAGAAGATGTAACAGTTATTAGAACAGGTAATCTAGTTTATTCAGTCTATGCTAATCAAATGTTGAATAAATATCCATATTTGTATTTATTATAAAAAATCTGAGATCATCGTAGGTGAACAGAAATTTGAAAAATACCAGCAGTTTAAATATCAGTTAATATTCAAAGAAGAAAACACTAAGTTGAATTGCACTAGTAATATTTTAACCCCCAAGATTCCATGTTGGAAAAGAATCAATTAACTATTATTGAAAAATACAAAAATCACTGTGAATACCTTACCTACATGATGTCCTCAAATGATATCCTCAGAGTCTTAATTAATTATTTTATAAGAGAAAACTAGATCTATTTCCTATATGCCTATCCTCATAGAAAATATTATTAATGGACCCATTCAGAATATCTGTTGGACTAAACAGTTTTACTCTCAAAGCCTCGTGTTGAGGCTTAAACCTCAGGGTATATGAATTTGATGGTATGACCCATATGAACACAATTAAGTTTAAATAAGGTCTTAAGAGTGATGTTGTAATGCAATAAAATTGCTATCCTTATGAGAAGAAGCCTAAGGGTTCTGTACCCACAGAAGAAGACCCTGTGCGATCACAAAGAAGATCCCAAGAGAAGGTAGCCAGTAGAGTAAGATTTGGAATGGAAAAGGGTGACAAACATACATGTACTTTTCCATCAAATCATCCGTGTGATTCCAATGTTTTTGTTAAAAAAGGTAAGATACATTCAACCACTCAGGCCATATGTACATGACTGAATTTCATTTAGCAACTTAGATATTTTTGGAACATTCAGTATAGTAAATTTTAAAAGTTTTTCTACTTGACAGGTAAACTTGATGGAGCCAAATTAGGCAGATGTAAGACAAAAATCTGCAAAACAGTGAAAGAGAATATGTCTTCATTTAAATACTAGCAAATAAGGATTCGGCCTTCATTCAAACATCTTCTGTGAAGCATATTATTCTATGGAAAAGAAATGTTAATATGAAAATTATGCTGACCTATTCAACAAATAAACATGTTTTCCATAAAAAAAAAAAAAAAAAAAAACTTTCTTATGCTGTGGTACTTTTCTATGTGTTATTGGTCACAGAATGCAAAAGAATACCATGTGAGTTCAGGAACCAAGTATTAGTAGAATTTTAGGTCAGTAAACCATAATCCATAATTAGTGGCACCAGATTTTGTGTTTATTGCCAAGGCTGGATTAATTTGCATGAAAGCATCATCTTCATTCTAGTAATGACAGAAGTTACTCCGGGAAACTGTCAGTGTCATCATAGAACTGGTTGGTTAACTTTACTAAGTTTCAAGAGACTGAATGTATCCTGAGATTTTCTCTGCCTTGGTTTTCTGCAAGTTTGTTTGTGTTTGAGAAAACTAGTGCACTAATATAAAATGTGTGGGTGGTTCAGTCTTATATAGTGAATGATAGAGAACTATTGTCCTTATTACACTGGTGATAGTCAGACATGCTGGTACCTATGGAGACTGTTTTATTAAGTGTATTTTCTTCTATTTAGAGAAGAAAAAGGAGTCAAGTAGCATAGACACTGTTCCCATGTAGGTGAATGAACTTGAAATAAACCATTATTATGCACCAAATTGAAGGATATTGCAACCCTTCTAATAAACAGCTATGATACACCCTGAAGGTAATTTACCAGATTATTAAATAAAATTACATATATATGATTTTTCTAATAGAAGGCAGTATTTAGTCCCATAACTCGGTATGGTGTATACCATAATCTATAGAATGTGAATTGATAAATTCTCAACTAATTAAGCTGTGCATATTTCAAGCATCTACTTTGGGGTGGTTAGTGGGAGTTGAACTTAAGACTTCAAGCATGATTACAAAGTGTTCAGTGAGCTATAGCAACAGCTATTTTTGTTTTAAAACACAGCCTTACTAATTTTCCCAGACTTGTAATTCCCTTTCCTCTTGCCTTCCCAATAGCAGGAATTATAAGCATTTACCACAATGCAATAGATAAATAAGAAGAAAAGAGTTTCAGCCAGGTGTGATGACTCACACCTTTAATCCCAGGATTTAGGAGGCAGAGGCATGCAGATCTCTGATTCTGAGGTCAGCCTGATCTAGGAAGTTCCAAGCTACCCAGGGCTACACAGTGTTGTCAGACATTTCTAGCTGGAACCCAGATAGGCTTTGGTTGATCCTGTGGGAAAACACAAGCAAATCCTCTCCCTGTGGCCAACAATGGATCTGGCCCTTTCCTGAGTCCATCAAAGGGGTCTCTCCATCTGACCATGATGGGTTGTACTGGGTGTGTCTGAGCCCAGTGTCGGGTGATGGGGGAGCATCTGTCCC